ATGTGCCTAAACCCGTGGAATTGTGTTGGCATTGCCTTGCACAGTTCATTTTACTTCTAGTTCTTTGACAAGAGACTTAGATCCGTGATTTCAGGTTTATGGATCGAGGTGGCATGGCCTGTCATTAGGCATGTTGCCCCTGATCAGTACACCTGATGTCCCAGAAGAGCAAACTGAGTACTGCAAGCAGATTGAGCAGTGCCAGCTACTGTTGCCACGGGTTTAGGTAACTACTACAGAAGGCTTCTTTGATGTGCTCTCCTGGCTTCTAAACAAGGCTACTTAAAGTATATGTTCCTTCAGTTGAAGTTTCTATAACAAGGCTTTACTTTAGATTATAGAAAATGAAGGGCAATGTGCTTAGTGAGTGTTCCTAACACATGCTGCTTAACTGTTGGGGCCAAAAGAGTCCATGCATATCGAGTGACTTCTTATTAACAGACAGTCATGTGTGACCAGCATGCTCTGTATGGTGTAGCCCTTGTTCTCGCCAGTCACTGGCAGTTACTTGCTGCTGTGAGGTTTGCGGCTTTCTATCATATCTTAATATTGCTCTCTTTGTGTGACACTTTCCCTAACCTGTAGGTGTATGTATGTATGTATGTGTAATATATATATATATTAGGCTGGGTTCACACCTGGGCGTACCACCATAGGCGTGTTTTTTTGGCTCAGGGTTACCGCTTTGTTAACCCCGAGCCAGACTCGGGAATACCAATGGGTACGCGCGGAAAAACGCCCCAAATGAGCTCCTGTACTTGTTTGGGCGTAGGGCGTTTTTCAGCGTGTTTCCACGGGCTGAAATACGCCCAGGTGGGACCATGCCCATAGGAAATTATGGGATTTCACTTGCTGAGCGTTTTTCAGCGCTGAAAAACGCCCAGGTGTGAACCCAGCCTTATGGGTTTAATGATCAAATATTCTCAACAAAACCCCTTTTTATAGCCCTCAACATTAAAATCTTTCTTGTATTGTCTCTAGTCCAGCATTGAGACAATCTGATTTGCTGCTATAGGCAAAATGCAGTTCTCTCTTTTAGCGATAATACCCCCTCCTATATCTAACATAGTGGATTATATGTGAGATCAGAGTTGCTAATTATTAATGTAAATGCCATGATTCTTTGCATCAGGTGGAAATGGAAGGAAGAGGATATTAATAATAAAGATATGAACAATATTATAAAGATTCACAATCAAAACAATGAGCAGGCCTGGTCTGAAATCCTGAAATGGGAAGCTCTCCATGCAAAGTGAGTATTTCTGTTTGACTAATTATGGTACTATTATTTATACCCCATAACAACAAACTGCTTTCTCATTTGAAGGTTTTTTACTGCTGTCGAGCTATTGAAAGTTTGTGTTTTAGAAGTTTGGCTTGAAAGCTTTTTTGAATGATGCCACCAGTAGAACTGTAAGCCAAAAACATGAATAGATGAACCGCAGATATTGCTAGAAACTAGAAGGATCCACCAACCCATTAGAAGTCCTATGGAAAGAAACTGTTGTGGGTGGGGCAGGGGTGGGGGGGTGGGGGTTGGGATGTCATGCCTGGGAGTCATGCCTTTTGGCTGTCAGTCTTGCAGTGCCTCGTAGGATTTGTAGTTGCACCACAGCTTGAGGGCTGGAGTTTGCCCACCTCTGAACTAAGGGTTTAGTTCAGCTTTAAGCTTGGCTAAATGATACTAAATGATAGATAGACCTATTCTTAATCTTACCTTTGTTAGAACAAGCCCTGTGTTAGGGCTCCCAGAGCTTTAAGAATTGCCCCAATTGATGGAATAGAAGCAATGCCATTTTTCCCTGCCCTATAACACTGCTCTGTGCCTAAGTGACCTATTACCAGTGTCATGTAATGGACTGGGGGTGCCTAAGCTATGCAAATATGCAGTTCTCTCAGGAGTATTATATTTACAAGTTTTCACTATATGGTGTTTTATTGTCCTGTGCTCGGCTTGACAATTCCACCTCCTTTACCAAGGTGACAACTCTGTTCATTTTACAGCGAAATTTCTGCAGTGTTGCCACTCTGTAGACATCATTTTAGTTGGCTGTAAAAAAGTAGGTTGACTTTTGCAGTCAAATTTAGGAAAGCCACTCTATTTTTTGTGTGGTCTCATTCACACAGCATACCAAAATATATTTCTTACCTTTTTTAAGCTCAAAGCAGGGCTAAATGTAGAAGAAAAAAAACTACCCACATAGGGCCCGGTCCTGGGCGTCGAGCAATATGAATTCGACACACCCGTGCCTAGACTCGCGTGCCGCCAGAGTTCGCCATCTCTGGCCTAGATTGTTTACTTCTCCAAACCCTTCACCCTTTTGTGAATAACCCTGTAGGTCTTTTAACCCTTTTTAAGGACAGACAGTGTTCAAATCTAGTTTACAACTGATAATAAAATCTGCCAGCACAGCACAGACAGGGTTTATTAAAATAAACATAACTTCCGACAGCCCCATCTTCCTTTTTTTAGGTGGGAAGCTAGCTAGGATTCTTAAGTTATAATATGCGACATGTAACAAATCTAAAATGGGTGTTATCCTAATTTGGCTGCAAAAGTGAGAATACGTGTTAACTCATATGATTCAAATGTGACTGTTTTGTCCCAGCCCATGTAACTGTCACAATGGTTAGACAATTTGGAGAAAAACAGTCATTTGATTTAATAAAAACATGAATATACTGCATACTATTGTCACAGGTATAGCCCTCTACATTATAATGGATTTTTAAGATAACCAGAAACCCTTCTTATGGAGATTTAGACTTGGGGATACTTTTCTGTTTTCCTACTCCATCATGCTTGGATTTTATGGCATATTACAGCTCTAACCCAAAACAAGTTACAGAAGCCTATGCATTGTCATTGCTGGAAGTGCATTGTGCATTAGAAAAAAAAAAGATATTTTCTTGATGTTACAGAGACTTTATAACTTGTTTTTAAACTCATGTTTGGATTGTTCTTTTTACTTTAGAGAATGTCCCTGTGGTCCCAGTCTGGTCCGCTTTGGAGGTAAAGCAAAGGAGTATTCACCAAGGGCACGAATCAGATCATTGATGGGGTATGTTTTGTTTTTGTATTCTTGTTCCTCCCAAAAGCTTAACTCCGGCCCTACAGCTAAATACTCATTTGTAGACTGTTTAAGAAACCCAAGGATTTGTAACTATTCAGCCAGTCTTGTGATCCAGACAGAACAGATAGATCAACGACCTTCCTTTTTATACTGCAATTAAGCAATAGAGTTTGGTCAAGGACCCACCGCTAGCCTTCTGATTGGACAGTGGAGGAGCAGCAATTCAATGGCAAGGTTATCACCATGCACTTTTCCCTACTGTAAGCATGTTCACTGTTAAGCTGGCTATACACGTGACAGTCTGCTTGTACAATCATATCTTGAATGATTTTGTAAGGTAGACCCCGATTTTGCTTAATTTTGTGGTAAATCTAAAGTTCTCCACACACCTTACAATCTGATTAGATTAGGTAGGTCCTTATATTATATGATATCTGTAAATCTCAAGTTGATTTGTATAAAGATTGCATAATCAGATTGTAACGGGTTTAGTAGCCTAATGCAGTGGTTCTCAACCTGTGTAACCTCAGGACCCACATCCCTAAGAGGCGGGACCAGCTCATTCTCCTCTCGATATTATTCCGCCTCTCCATATTATTCCGCCGCCCGAAAGTGAGGAAATAGTCCCCGATTTCCCCGGGTCAGTTCACGCGCAGGGGGGTGTATGAGAGGGAACAGTTTTCAATATATAGTTCCCACAGGCTGGCTCGCACAAATCACCCCTCTATGTCTCCCTCCTGAACATGGGCCGCTCTTTGCAGGAAGGACGCCGCGACCCACTGCAGAAGGTGTCGCGACCCACTTTTGGGTCGCGACCCATGAGTTGAGAACCACTGGCCTAAATGATATTTATAGATTTTACAATCAGATGGTAATGTGTATGGCCAGCTTAAAGACTGTTATACAAAGCAACAGAAATCAGAATGGCTGGGGAGATTCAGCACCTCTATTGTCAAGGTAACAGTTGTCCGAAAGAAATAAACTAGTGGAAAATCCAAAATTTTACAGGTGTCACTAACAAATAATTAGGGATGTGCCGATACCGTGTATTTGGGCGAGTACTTGTACTTGGCCAAATGCTCTGATGCCTAGCCTGATACCTGAACTTCTGGCTTCCTGATTGGCCGGGAAGCCGGCTCCATTCTCCCTCCTCACTTGCTGATGAGGGTGCATGGAGTCGGCCAATAAGGAAGCGTGTAATGACTCGCTGCCCAGCTTCCTGATTGTTCGAGAAGATGGCCAATGAGGAAGCTGGACGGCAAGTCAATACCTGCCCCCCCGGCTCCCACCTGGTGATGAGGGAGCACGGAGCCGGCTTCATGGCCAATCAGGAAGTTGGGCGCCATGTAATGATTCGCTGCCGGCTTCCTGATTGGTCGAGAAGCTAGTCAATCAGGAATCAGTCATTTCTCTCTCTCCCTCTCGTTTAACAGTATTCTGCTTTTTACTTGGACTGGAGTTTGTGTTGATCATGTTGGGTATTATACTTCATAGCAGTGCTAAACTGTGCCTACCCTTCTCTTGTACAGCTACGAACTCCCCTTTGATCGTCATGACTGGATCGTAGATCGCTGTGGACAGGAAGTCCGATATGTCATTGATTACTATGACGGAGGAGAAGTAGATAAAAACTATCAGTTTTCCATTTTGGATGTCCGCCCTGCGTTCGACTCCATGACAGCAGTGTGGGACAGAATGAAAGTGGCCTGGTGGCGCTGGACCTCTTAATCTGTCAAGGAATAAACCTCATCTATCACTGGACAATCGTGTGAAAGATGGAAAAAGATGCAATATCGGCAGGGCTTTATTGCAAACCCCGTACTTGCAGATCTATTAAAAATTGCAGCAAAGTATTTAATACAATGTATATAGGATGGTGCAATTTTTTAAACCAAAAAAAATAAACATTTGCAAATGATTTTCATTTCAGTTGAGTTTGAACTGTAATAAGAGGGTTTCAAAAAGAGTGCAGTCAATATGCTTGTTTTTTTTTTTTTTTCTATGAAGTTCAAAGAGGACCTTCACCCGGCTGTCAAAAATTAAAAGTCAGCAACTACGAGTACTTTAGCTGCTGACTGTTACCATAAAATAAAATACAAAAAACCACACACTTACCAGCCCATGAAGTCCAGCGCTCTCTTGCCGCCATCTTGCCTAGGAAGTGGGAGCAAGCACCACCAACAAAAAGCACTCCCTTTCCAAAAAAATTAAAGCTTGAATTCTTTACCAGGTCAGGGGGGAGGAGGAGAATGCTGATTAGTTTAGTTTTGTTTCGGGGTGAAGGTCTGCTTTAAGTAATGTGCATCCCAGGATTTATTTGTTAGCTTTTGCCAAGAGCAGCGCAATAGCATTTTTCATACCAGCTAAATCCGGTATTGGGTTTTATCCTATATAAGTGGCATGAGTTACTACAAATAACTGCTGCCTGGTAGAATGTCTTTCAGTGAATACCTGTGTGTTTATATTGTACCAATAAATGCATTTCTGACTTTAACCCCTTCATGGCTGAGCTTGTTTTTCGTTTCTGTTCGTAAATGACTGACGCACTTTTTACACTTTTGCTGTGTGATTCTTCCACATCAGTAATATACTTTCTTACAAAGTGCACCCACGCATATTATATATTGTTTTAGAGGTACACATATGTGATATAAATATTTTGTCCTAACGTTTCACTTAGGACAAATAAAATATAAAAAAACGTAAAGACAACACGTTTTCCCCAGTTTTGATTTGTAGTATTTTTTACAAAAACAGCACAGCTAAAAAAAAAATACAATAAATACATTCATTTATTTGGAAAAACCTCACCTCCCTAGGATTTTAGAAATTTTTCTGTACTACTCGGCCTAAAACAAAAACCTAACATTTTATTTTATTTTTTTCTTCCCTTAAAGCTAAATGTGGTAACCTGGCATACAATGTCACCGTCACTAAGTGTCACACTTGGTGACAGCGACATACTTTGAACATCGCTGTCATGAGGGGTTTAAAAAAAAATATTAACCCCTTAGGGCAGCGGTTCTCAACCTGTGGGTCGGGACCCCTTTGGGGGTCGAATGACGATTTGCCAGGGGTCGCCCGGGAGTCTCCTGCTTTTACATAGCGGCTCCCGGTCGCCTGGGAGAGAAACACTTTCTCCCAAGCAGAGTAAACCTTTTTTGTCTGACATTGGGGGCCGTAGGCCGCTGTAAGTCAGAAAAAAAAAATCACCCTAGGAATGCATAGCTAGATTCCTATTGGCTATTTCACTTTGCAATAGCCAATAGCAAACTAGCTATTGCACCCGCCTTCTACTGCTGCCAATCAGCAGAGGGGGACCTGAAGTTCTCCATCAGGTCCCCACTACTAATTGACAGCAGCAGAGGGCAGGTGCAATAGCTAGTTTGCTATTGGCTATTGCAAAGTGAAATAGCCAATAGGAATCTAGATATGCATTCCTAGGGTGTTGTTTTTGTTTTTTTATTCTGACGGCGTACACCAGCGGTTCTCAACCTGTGGGTCGCTGTGTGATTTCTGCTGTGCTAGGTGAGAGTCCTTCTCAGCCCTCTCCTAGCGCAGCAGTGTCAGTTCTCCCGCCAGATGTCGCTGCAGCAGCCGCGTCATTCCTAAATTTTACCGTTGGGGGCCACCACAACTTGGCAAATGTTACCAAGGGGTCCCGGCCCTAGAAAGGTTGAGAACCACTGCTTTAGGGTGATAAACAAATCCAATTTTTATTGTAAGGGGTTAATTTTTATATAAAAATTATGATTAAATGAAAGTATAAAAATATATTTAAATATAATTTTAATTTGTTACATTTATTTTTTTACACTTTTTTTATTTACACTTTTTACATTTTTGTTTTTTACACCTTTATTTATTTATTTAATTATATCAGGCAGTCATTGTGAATTAATCGCACTATTACTGCTTGATAAATCAATTATTTTTTTGGTTATTATTAGGCTGCTTCAAACTTCAGCGGTTAAGGTCTGGAACTCACTGCAGCAGGAAGTGATTTCAGCTAAGAGTGTGGAATCATTCAAGAAACTCCTGGACAAGTTCCTTGGAGACCATAACAAAGGGGTACAGGTACTGCTAAGAGAGAAATCACACATGTACTCGTACGCGCACACACCTGCTGAAACATAGATGCACACACGCAATAGGTTGGACTTGAACTTATTTCTTTATTCAACCTCAAAAATCAGCCAATAATAACGTTAGTGACACTGATCCTGCAGCAGTTCAGGATCAGCTGTCACTAAGGCCTAGTTTACACCTGGGTGTTTTACAGTGCGTAGAGACGCGCTGTAAAACGCTCTGCATGTGAAAACCAATAATTGCCTATGGGCATGGTTCCCACCTAGGCGTATTTCAGCGTGTAGGAACGCGCCGAAAAACGCCCTACGCCCAAAGAAGTACAGCCGCTTCTTTGGGGCATATTTTCCGCGCGTATCCATTAAGCCGGATAGCCCTCGTAAACGTGCGTTTGTCACGCGTTTCTTTTACAGCAAATCCTGGTAAAAATGCTCGGCGCGGCAAATGCATATTCCGTACGCCCAGTTGTGAACCCAGCCTAAAGGTTTTCTGATCGTTACAACAAAGATCAGAAAACTGAAACATTATTTCAGGAATAGAAACATGTTTCTATGCTTGAAAGTAGAAAAAAAAAAAAGCCGGTATACGATCGGGATGCGTGATCTACACAAGCTGTCAAAATGCCGGCAAGAGCAGCCGAATGCGGCTCTGCTTTCACTCTCAGACACCCGATTCCTGAAAATGTTTAACTTTTTCATTAATGGATGCCTCTATACCGAGGCATCCATTAATGAATGGTAACCGCTAATTCTCAGCGGTTACCAGCCTTGTAGAGCAGCAAATAACTCGTCACGTACAGTGTACGTGACAAATCATTTGGTCCCTTTGTGGCGGGACGTACATTCTACGTCTCCCGTCACGAAGGGGTTAAAGGATTTCACATATAGTGAAGTAGTCTTTTAAAATATCCCCCCCACTCTCCATTGAGGACATAAATTACAATTACATCCATTCCAACCAAAACTAGGAGAATTGTAAAAAGATATTGGCCGTTCAGGCACTGCAGAGGATAACAGATGAGACCTAAATGGTCACTATGTGCATGTTTACTTTTGTGGAGAACATTGTTTTTAGAAATGGGTACTCAGTGTTACTGTCACAAGACATGGCTACAAGAGATATTCCCCATCAAAGGAACAGATCCGGAGATGAAGCCTGCCTACAAATACTTTATAGCAACCTAAGATAAAATAGGAAGACTAGAACACAATTATTTGGAGCTTTAGAAGGCTTGGAGGCAATAGCGGGGCCTATGTCCTAAAACGTATCCCCAAGAATTATTGCATTCAATTCAAACCCCCTCCCCCCCCCCCCCTCCCTTTTACCAAAACCCACATCT